AAAAAAAAAAAGAACCTAGAAAAGGCAACTAATCTGCTCCTCACCTAAGCTCATTGACTTTACGAGCCTGTTCCCACATGGTCTTCTCGATATTTTTGGATTTACGCCTATCTAAAGCCCCAGCCATGTTGTCCACTTCATCTCGGCCTGTGGCATCAGTTTCCAGGCTGGGGTCTCTGTCCTGTGCTTCCGTCACCGAGTCAATGTTAGCTACATCCGGCTCACCAGCCAGTGCGGTTAGCGTCTGCGCCAATGATGACAGATGTTTTCCAATGCTGGTGTCACAATGTAACTCGATACCGCACATGCGCCATTGAAACGACATCACCCACTTTCCTGCTTTTATCATGTCTGATGAAGTCATAAATAACAGTATTATATGGCTTATTCTTGTCGCCGATATAACGCGCGCTCTGATTGGCTAATTGTAGTGTGTTATTCTCCCTTAATGCCCACGGGCCGATTATGGGCTTACAAAAACAAAGCAAAAAGCCATATAATAAACAACTTATTCACGTTCGTTCGGTCTTTCCGGGAAAATCTCAAGCCTCGACCTTGCCGTATTGACCTCGCTATCGCTCGATCAGCACGGCAAGGTGCGAAATTTTCCCGTAAAGACCTCACTTTTGATTAATAAGTAGTTAATGATAAAAAAGTAACCTTTTATATAGAGCTAATATCATAAACACATTCAAAAGCACTTTAAATTAAATCAACTGACTTACTAGAGCTAAAACTAAGCCCAATACAAACACCAAAAGGGTTAAAAAGGTGGTAAAATGGTGAGTAAAACTAAGACCTACTAGAACTATAAAATGTCATGAACGATTCTAAAAAGACATGTCTTTAATCCGTTTTTTTCTTTTTTGTCATTCTAAAGTAGAGTTTGATCCTGTAGACAAGGGTAGATTGTTCCAATAAATGGACCTGAGGCAGCAGAGGTGGGATGTGAGAGAAAAACGAGAGCTTTTTAGACTGCAAATAATGTGTGGCAGGGCAGCCCTAAATGACAGTCGGTCAGTTGGTCGATCAGTCAAAGTCCACAATCTCAAAGTAAATAAAAATGCTCAAGTCACAAAAAAAATAATCAAGAAGGAACAAAAAATCACCTTACACGAGAAAGATGGAAACTCAGACATCCCGAGATAACATAGAACAAAGAAATATCCGAGTCCCCGACGGAAATGAAATCAAGGGCCTCTCGCACATCCATTGGAAGTTCTAACCACTGAGCTACAGGAGACTAGTGACGAGCTAAGTGTTTTACTAACGAAAGAAAAAAGGTCTGCTATGTCACAGGCCAACCAGCAAAGTTTGACATCTCACCTGCTGACAAAGGGTACCTTTGTGTTCTTGAGCATAGCTCGTATGTTCCCTCTGGAACAACACCTTCAAGTGACAAGAAAAAATGATCAACGAAGTACTTTAATTAAAAATAAACTAAACTAAAATAACATAATGAAAACCACTGTTTTCCTTCGAATGTCGAAAGGTGCACCTGAACAGTAGGTAAAGCTGCCCCAAGGCAGGCAAACCTAGCCCAAATAGCCTGAGCTCATTCTCATTCTCACTCATTCTCTTATGTTAGTTTATGACAGGTCCCTCTCTTTCGGGTTGCCCCGCCAATTCGCCCCTGCCCACATAGTTCTATCCTCAAAAAACAAAAAATGTTCAAATGTTGTTTATAGTGGTCAATGCGCTTAGCTAGTTCACAGGCATGCCACTTTAAATGAAGGAAACAAATATATCAACTAAACGTAATAGGCTTAAAACCGTGTCCGTGTCAAATTTGTCGGCGAACCACAGCGAGAAACTGCTGAACTTTCCTTTGCTGACAAAAGAGACGCTAGAACAGCAAGTTAAGAGCATCTGCTCCACTAGTAATACCATAGCAGGGCCGGGTTCTTGCTCTGAACAAATATAAAACAGGATAAACCATTCAGTTGAGTACAATAGTACATGTCAACTTCGTACCCAGTGTCTCTCTTCTTCTCGCTCCCTGGAGGGGAAGACCCTGGGAACGAGGTTGGAACCCTCAAGTTCTGTACCCTAGGAAACCGGTTAAACCTGTTGTAGATCTCTTAGGTCTCCTGAGCGTGCGCAGCCCAAAACACAGGTAGAGAAGTTCGGTTTTCAGAAAATAAAAACTTTGGGTAAGAAATCTCACTCTCTTAATAGACATATATTTTACTCTCCATTTGTATTTTGACTCACCCGACAGGCTGGAGGACTCTATTTACAGCAATATTAGATATTTAAATGTTTGATAAGATCTATGAAAGTGTAACAAAGTGGAATAACAATGCAGTGCAAGTCAGCGTCCTCGCACTCTTCTCCTAACTTACCAGGATATCTCATTTGGAAACCTTGAGCAACAACCTAGAAAAAGGCAAAGCAAAACTTGCTTTCAGATTTGGAATTTGGTTTACATAGTATTTTACTTTAGTGAGATGTCTGTAAGTTTGGACAGATACTGATACCATATATAGATAGAGGGTGGTAAAATTTGAGCTAAAGAGGTAAAGAGGTAAAGAGGTGCGAAAAGCACTAGGAATACTTCACACGTGTACAATTACATCAGAGCGAAAAAACGTAGTAAGCATGCGTGAGTTTCGGCCGCGCGCCAGGCTCCAAGTTTGAAAAAATCGCGGAAATCTCTTCGATCGTGTAAACAAAAGGTTTAAAGGTTACTATGTTTTCCCAATTTTCATGGTAAGTAGCAACATTTTCTCTTCACTAATGCAAGCTGGTGTATTGTTTTTGCGGGGAATCAATTTTTTCGGACAACATTAAGAAGGTTTCCGAATCCTTTATTTCTCCACGGTATAATAGCACAAGAAATTTGGGTGCGGAGACACACTTTTTTCCACAAACCCTCTTTACATATTGTATCCATATAAGCACACAACCTAATATATAAGAAATAGAGCCTCAGAGCAGGCAGGGGGGAGCCTAGTTTTCTAACAGTGAAATGTCGAAAAAATTCATGCTTGCTCAAGTAGAAATAAATCAACTGAGCGACATTCTCGCGTTCCTTATGACAGTCCGCCTTACGCTATGCCATTGAAACCACATTATTGCCTTAGCCCGCAAGTGGGGTTAGGGATGCGCAGAAAGTTGCGCAGTACGTTTTTCCACTCTGAATACAGATACAAGGTCTTACAAGGTAAGCCGATGAACGAATGCTATTCGAACACTGAGCATACCCTTCTCCTACCGCACTCCCAAAATCTTATTACCCTCTCCCCCCTCCCCCGACCTAACAGTTCTGAAGCGTCCACGTCTGCCTTCGCTTAGATGACGGGCCACGCCTGTGAGTTCGTAGATACTTTGCACAGAAGACTGAAGTATACCGCCACAAAGAAGTGAAAGTCTGGAATAGAAGTCGTCCATGACCATGGGGGTCAGTTGACCTTACAAACCTGGTTGCCATTGTAGAGCGGGATGCAAACTCCAAGATGATCGACTGTCAGTTGGAGGAATAACGATCCTGACAGCTGAGAAGACGGAGGTCTTTGAGGCAACTTGTCCAACACTGCTTGGGTAGCAAAGTGAACCTGAACAGAAGAGATATATAAGATTTATTTTACTTTGATTTCATCTGTCCACCAAATTGCGAGCTCTACATCTCCAAAACTATTTCTGTTGCATAGTGCATTTGAAACTGTCTGACTACACTGTCTCGGCTATCTGACTCGTAAAATCAAACACTTTCTATTAATCAAAACAAAATTATACTCGTTTGTTCCACTTTCTGCATGTCGTTTTACCTCACTACGAGTCGCGCAACTCAGTTCTTAGGACGAGAGTATTCTTTTCCCCACGGCTCTTAGAATAACCTTAAGAGTTTCCGCCATTTGCTCTTCTTACGAGCGTGGAGTAACTCACTGACTACCTTCTTAAAGGAACTACGTCACGGTTTGTGCATCTTGAAAAGTTTTGCCAAACTTTTGAAGTTCGTCGTTTGTAATCCGTGTCAATCTTCTCCATCCTTAACCATCCTCGTTCCTTTATGGTTTATTATTATCAGTTTGGTATTTTCCTATCTTAATAAACTACTATTTTCAGGTTTCCTTCAATTTAAAGGTTATTTTGTACGTGGCCAAAATAACTCAAAATGCTGTAATTGAGCTCCTTTAACACCTTCATTTTATCAGAGGGGTAGGGATTTTACAAGTTGAGGTAAATGAAAGGGTGGGGAAATCAGACATTTAGGTAAAACGTGAACGGGAACTGAATAAGTGACAATTGATCTTTTCGTTAACATCTCTTCTAGTAATGATTGGTGTTCTCCCGTAGTATGGTTCATTAACTTCATTCTAACGGTTTAGAAAAAGGATTCAGTGTTCTTAAGTAGGTACGCCTTGAAAGGGGTAACTTTTTTCTAACAGGTATACAAAAGTGGTACCTTTTCTGTCAAAATTGTATACAAAAGGGTAAAGGGTTGAACCTCGGGGCGGAGCCTTCCCGTGCAAAACTTTTTAGAGTTTCGGGCTATCTATTCACTCTAGCTTTCTACCAAACTGACTCACCGACAGACTGACTAGACGACTGGCTGTCTGGTACAGTAGCTGTGAATGAATGTACACACACTCACATGAACAACTGAAAACAATGGAAATTAGTACCTATGTTCCTTAGCAATGATTACTAGATGTTCACATCATACTGTCTTAAAGGACAGCTAACAAAAAAACACTCAACCCCAAGATCATTGAGTTTTTTTAATGAATGGTTAACAGCTTGGCTCGAAGATGGTAGACAAGGATATAATTAGCTTTATCCAAACGAAATTTGTGCACTGATCAAACCTACAACCTCAATTCTCCATCCCACCTAATGCCACCGTGACTTTCCATCCCCAATATTAAAAGTCCGCAATTAGTAGAGGGGTGTTTCCTCTCGGCTAGCTAAGTTTCGACACGTTAATAAAGCGCCTGACTGATTGATAGAATGATTGATTGATTGATTGATCGATCGATCGATCGATCCCATAAAAAGCAAACAAGCAAACAAGCAAACAAAACAAGCTTCTGACGAAACAAGCTCCCGACGATTCTCAAAATTGAAAACGAGCTGCTTCATTTAAATTTCCTCTGATTAAATTTCAGTTGCAAATAAAAACAAAGAAACGCACGTGCACGAGGAAGTACGGAACAACACACGTTAGCGAATACAGTCTGGGTTGATGCGTATAAACGAGGTGGACAGTGCATGCTCCATGCTATTATAATCAAAAAAGCATTACTAACATTACTTGTGGCGTTCATCTCAAATTGCTGTACAAAAAAAGGAAAATCATTTAGAACAGTCAATTGTGAATGTGTCCCGGGGAAGTATAACTTAGTGACTTCAATTACAGCCGAACCGCCACTAACGGGCGCCCTTGAACAATCACTCGCTTGCGTGTCGGCCGTTTTAGGCAGCGTCCACACTACTCCGCAGGAATTTGAAAACGCACCTTTATTTCTACGGTTAGGCTTACCATCCACACTAATCCGACATGAAAACGGAGTTTTTCGAGACTGCTCTTCAAACCGGAGAAATTTGAGAACGCCGGCTTTTCATCTTCGTGTGGATGGAAAACATTTTGAAAACGGAGGTTCTCAAAAACGATGGCGTCACGATGATCATGTGATTTTCCTGACCGAGTTTTCCTCAAACACAAATCCAAAATGACCGGTGGTTGTTGCGTTTTTAAATTTCTCCGGCGTGGTGTTGACGGAAAACATTTGCTGCAATTTCAGAGTGAAACCTCCGTTTTCAAATTCCTCCAGCGTAGCGTGGAAGGGGCCTTTTAAGGTGGCTGAACACAGTTTTTGATACCTATGTTTTATTCACCTTTTTCTCTAAAACCCTTGATCCCTCGGTCGTCAAAAATGGCAGTAAGCAAGTTAACAACACAAACTTTGGTCTTTTGATGGTTAAGCTGACGTATGTGCCGTTACCATGGCAACATGAATAAATATAAACAGGCCTTTAAAATCGGTTTTGTTTATTTGAAGAAAATCTAGTCATTAGATTTTCTTTATAATTTGCATGCAACAAGCTTGTAACGATTCTCACAAGTTAAGGTAATTCCTCTGAAATAAAAGTGACAATAGATTTTTGTTCAAACTTTGTCCACTGAATATTTGTCATATGATAACTTCAATTTTGAAATAAAAAAGAGGGGTGCCCATG